GGGGGGGGGGGGTCATCTAAGCTTTTCTCAAATAACTGATGCCAAAATGTCTCTGAACTCTTTCTGGAAAGTCTACTAACACAGAAAAACTAAACATTTTCGCGCGGTCTTTTCCGTGTTGTTCGTCCGTGTACGTGTGATATTTCGGTTGCTTGTCAACCATTTTTTTATTTTAAGCACATTTATCAGTTTAAAGTTCTTTTGTCTTAGATTAATATATGGAGGAGTTGGCAAGTGTTTAACAAAAAGAAAATGCCAAAATTTATCGATTTTCAAAAAATATTTTTCGACGCCATTTTGTAAAAAAGGACTGGGGCAACCTGGAAAATCATCACTCATGAGTGGCTTCAAAGATGGCGGCGGAGTTATCATTCCAGGTTATTTACAGTTCACTGAGCGTAGCCTGTGTAATCAACCGAAAGAAATTCGGCATTAGATGTTATCGCGACGTCTCTTCGATAGTTTGAGGCTAGTCCTACGCAGGGCCGTACGCAGGATATTTTCACCGGTGGGGGGACAGTAAGACCTATATGCCGAAAAAAGTCCCAAATATTCAAAGAATAATGATTAACGACATTCTAAAAATCCTAAACATAGTCTTCTCTGGGGGAGCAGTTGCCCCCCTTGCCACCTCCCTCCCCCTCCCCCCCCGCTGGTTACAGCCATGGTCCCACGTTTTCGTGTTGGATACAGTTTAATTTAATAATTGTGGTCTTACACAACGCAAAGAGGTGTTTTGAGTGAAATTTTGCCATTTTTCAAAAATGGAAAAATACAAACTTTAAACCCTACTTAATCATATTTGTATCATTTTGTTGTTCAAAAATACCTAAAAACCCTGAAAATTTACAAATTTGCAAATTCGATAAATTTACACTTAGCAACGCCCACAGCAACCAGATGTCTGCCTCTTTGAAAGCATTTGAATCATTTATATTTAGATCAGTTTTTACCCCTCAATTTCAAGTATACTGTATTGAAATAAGCAATTATTTTAGGCTCTTCATCTTTGGAACTGCTACTGGTTGCATCAAAGCTACAAGACTGACTTATTTTTCTTGCAGAAGCAGACAGATTAACAACCGACTCACTAGAAACTCACTGGTTGCTCAATACTGTCAACACAAGTTTTCTCTGCATCATTTACGTGCCGATTCCCACAGAATTTTCTCTTTCTCCTTTACGATCTTTCCCTTAATACCACTGTCAAAAGACGATTAGTCCACAAAGAGAAGTAAATTCGGCGAAAAATCACAAATACAGCGACCAAAAGTTATTAAAAAATTTCATTTTTTCGACACAAATATGGCTTCGAATTTTGATTTGCAGCAAATATCATTGTAAGTTATGTGGAGAATCTAGTCTTATTCTTAAAGATGATCCTTGGGAAGGAATAGGTTGTGCTTCTTATCTTCAGCTGTGTTGTGATAAATGTGGCTGGGTTTATACCTTTTTACATAAAAAAGTCAATCTTTTTTTATGTTAACAGAAGACTTGTTTATGCAATGAGAAAGCATTGCCATTGGAGAAGAAGAAGCTTCTGTGAGACGTTCCTGTTCCCTAATGAATATTACCCCACCACCGAAATCTTCTGCTTATTCAGGTTGTAAATGATACCTTGTTGAAAACAGCCAAGACTGTGGCTACTGATGTGATGGAGAATGCTGGTAAAGAGTTACACCATGACGATAACGGTGATGACGAAGTTCTCCAGTGCGGTGTTTACTGTGACGGAACTTGGCAAAGGAATGAACTAGAATCATTGCCTTACTGCATATAGACTAACAACTATTATCAGAATTTATCCTACCAAACACAAAAAATGCGGAAACATGCATCACTGAAACAGTGATAACTCCTTGAAAATGCAGCAGAACTCAATTATTCTAGTTCATTCCCTGGAGCATGATACTAACCCTTATCCCCTAACCCTAATCTAACTTTTTAAACTTTTTTGAAAATCTAACTTTTTAAACTTTTTTTTCTTTTTAAAACGTTTTTAAAACTTTTTAAAAACTTTTTTAAACTTTTTTTTGAAAATCGTGAAAAACAAAGCAAATTTTGTAAAACTTTACTACAATTTTGTATGTTGTACCCGAACAGATTTTGTTAGAGAGCATCTGGAGGACACTACTTCTAAGGATTTGTGACGTCAATGCAATGGGTCTGTTAGTTATATTGAGTGAGATGTCAAAGATCTTGATATTAACCCGTATTTGAGGATGGATTGTTCGAACGTAAATCAAATATATACAGCTACAATTAATCAATTACTCGGGTTATTCTCTGAATGTCAGAAACACCGACTTCCAAGACCAAACGCAAACAGCACAATGAATGTGTCGTTATTAATAGACTGCCGGTTTATGAATGCATATCGGCACTATCTACAGTAGTTGCTATGTTTTGCTAATCAAGTTTTTGTCTAAGGGAGCATTCATTTTTTAGCTGGGGGGGTGGGGGGTGGGCCGGAGGAACTGATGTCTAATTCCATGCTAAAACTTGGAACCCGCAAGAGAAAAGTTGATAAAAAATTATGACCCCCTATTTTTTTACTGAAAAATTTTTTGACCCCTCATCCTAACTATTAATAATCTACACGGTGTCGTTTCCGTAGCGTTTCAGGGCCGTAGGAAGCTCTTTTTGATTGAGGGGGCTGAAAGCGAGGGCCGAAGGCCCGAGGAAATTTTTAAATCTAGAGTCTCTGAAATGCCATTTCCTGGACTTTGGGGAAGATTTGACAGAATTCTGATGGTCAGAAAACAGCGTTTTAGTATAAGTTCTTTGAATGTTTGCATGGCGATAAAATATAATTGTTTTTGTTTTTGGAAACACCACGTAATAAATTTACGTGGTGTTTCCACAAACAAAAACAATTAGCATTTTAGTATGTCGAAATTGACAATTTGGTAGTACTAAATGGGCGAACGCGTATTTAATTAACTATATATTGGATAACTAGGATAAGTTGCAGGAAACTGTGGGTACTATCTTCATTCTGTGCAGTTTGTCATGGATAATGTAGCCGCTTAAAATTAATAAAGCTTAAAATTGATAAAGGTCATGATGAAATGCATGCAGACCTTGAAACGATGCATGATTTTGAAATCATGCTACGGTCCTGCGTTTTCTTTCATTCGTGTTTTCACACAAAAACGGATAAAAACGAGGTCAATTGACAAACGTCATGGAAATGTTTTCCTATGGACTGGTGAACAGAGCGTCAAATGAATTTTGCTTCTTTGTTAAAGATGACGAGATAGTTGATAGTTTCTAGATCATTTTACCATTCTTCATCCAAATATTTCCAAATTCTATAAAATTATATTGGTGACTTTTTCACTGATTATTTTTTTGACCCCCTCCATTTATACCAAAACTATAAAAAGACCCACCCCTTTGAAGCATGTCAAAATTTGCTGACCCACCCCCAAATTCCTCCGGCCCACCCCCCCCAGCTAAAAAATGAATGCTCCCTATAAACATTTATGCTAATCGTCAGGCGAATTTAATTCTCAAAGGAATAAAGCATTGATAAGCCGCTCACCGCAATCAACTTGCTGCAACCTTAACAAAAGTTTAAAACTCCGATAAACTCTTCGGGTTTGCTACTGAATCGAGTTTGATCATAGGCGAATAAAATACGAAATAGGAGTGAAACTCATGGGAATTCGTAACTTTTAAAACGATTTTTAACGCAAAACCAACACGCCGGCTGATACATACAAAGGTGTGTCGGGAAGTATGAACTACATGTATATATATGTTATTTATATTGTGCAAATGTTCCTGTGCTGTTTTATACTTGTGTGTTAAGCTGTGCATTATGTGTTTTGTACTTGTTAAACCAGGTCGTCAACGTAATTGGTCTACGCTGTGTTGACGTTCCTGTGCCGTTCTGTACTAGTGGAAATTTTGTAAACGGCAAAGTTTATAAATAAATAAATATTGTATTCAAATCCATTTATCCATCGTGCTTTTTTCGCTTATATATAGGCCGCGGTCTTGAGTTCTGACTTTGACAGGATCTTAATTGAATTAGCTGTATGTATTTTAGACCTAACTAGGAGTAGACTTGCTCCAAGTCTCTCTTTCATTGTCATATCGATCCACTATAGTGTACATTACATGACGTAGCACGGAGAGGCGGAGCGAGAAAGAGAGACTTGTCAACTGTACTGGGATTGCCAGTAAATGTGACCGAAAACAGGTTTCAACTCACTTTAATTATCAAAATATATGGAAAATTACAAAATAGTAGATTTAGGTAAAACACTGTTTTCCTTCGCACGCCATCTTAGCTCTCCTGCGCATGCTCTAACGAAACGTAAATAAAAATTATCCAAAAGGCGATCGCAGAGAGATTACTGTACAACCCAATACACCGGAAGGACTGGGGTCGATGCGATCGCATCTTAAAATCTGAATGTACATTTCTCTAATGCATTGTTCACTCAATACTATATAATGTCACTGTCCGTTCATACACTCTCTTTTGCTTCCGACTTGGTTTCCTGGTCTTGATCCATATCCACGGGTACTAATAACGATAATCGCTGAGCACTTCGTGACACAATGACAGCCTCGTTATGTCCTTTGTATTTTTGTACATTTTCTCCAATTTGAAAATTCTTGTACATGACATTTACTCGACGAACTTTTCCGTCTTGACTGGGAAACACTTCTTGTACTATACCTAAACGGTAATCTCCTCGCAAGGTATTACGGTCGGCGATTATTACAACATCTCCTGGGCGCAGGTTACGGTTGGCTGTATTCCACTTGCGACGAATAACCAAGGCTGGGGCGTATAACTCCGTCCATTTCTTCCAGAACTCGTCTGTCACGATCTGGACAACATGATAACGCTTTCCTGGATTATTACAGTTAGGCTGCCATCCACCAGGATTCTTCGCCGTTGCTCTGCCCAGTAACAAGCTGTTGGGAGTAAGGATGTTTAATTCGGAATCAGCGCTCGGGAGGGTTCCGATAGGTCTTTCATTGAGGAGGTTCGTGGCTTCGCTACACACCGTCATGAACGCTTGGACTGAAAGACGTTGGTTATTGATTGCGAAATGAATAGCTCTCTTGGCACTCTTCACCAGGGATTCTACAGCTCCTTGGTACCAAGGACTATCAGCGGGGCCGAAGATCCAGGTCAATCCATTCTCTGTGCCACTTTTATGTAGGGTTCCTTGGTACCAAGGACTATCAGCGGGGCCGAAGATCCAGGTCAATCCATTCTCTGTGCCACTTTTATGTAGGGATTGTCGGTCAATGCTCTTCCAGGTTTCCGTGAGTTCTCTTTCCGCACCAATTAGTTGTGATCCGGGATCACTATATATGATTTCGGACCAACCACGAACACTGACGAATCCGCTGAGGGCCATTAGGAATGATTCGGTATCGTACCCGAACACAGCTTCAATGTGGACTGCTCTCATAACTAGATCTGTGAAGATTACTCCATGGACCGAGTAGGGTCCGAAAAGGTCTATCATAACGTGGTTGAAAGCTGGAGATGGTTTCAATCTTGCTTCCGGTAGTTGTCCCATTTGCTGCTCGAGGAACTTTGCTTCTCGTAGCTTGCACATCTGACATTTACTCTTGATTGATTGAGCGAGTTTGCTTCCTTGGGTTACCCAGTAGAGTTGACGGAATCGTGCTAAGGTTGCATCACGCCATCTATGACCAGAAGTGTGAGCTCGTTGCATGAAGAGTCTGGTAACATGATGTCGGTAGGGAAATAGCTTTTGCAGCGAAGAATCCACTGTCATGGGATTTTAGTTCTTCAGGCGCTGTCCCACTACCCAGAGTCCACTTTCATCTTGGACTGGATTCAAACAAGCGAAACGACCACCTTTTCTGCCTTTGCGGTCAGTTTTTGTCAGTTCACTTTCAAATGATTTCTGAACTTCTTTAACAATAAAGTTCTCGGCTTCTTGTAATTGCTTAACCGAGATGGACAGAGTCCTTCCGCCTTTAAAACTTTTCTTCTTCGCAATGTTTAGCAATCTGGCGACGACCCAAATAGCTTTGTTGATACTGCTGAATCGTTCATAGTCGATCAACAATGCCTCTATGCTCGATGCTGCTGCAACATGGACTTTCTTTTCACCGGGAAGTGGTTCTTTCTTTGGGTTCCATCCCAGACCGAGCACTCGTAAGATTTCGTCAGTTCCTTTTAACATTATTAGTCTTTGGTCTGAGCTTTCAACACTCTTTTCTGGCAGGTCCAATTTTAACAACTCTTCTTTCAAGCGAGGTTGTGTTTCGCCACCGAATTGCCAGCACTTTACAGCAAATCCTCCTTTGGCAAGGATATCCTCGGATTCCTTGGCAATCTTTAACGCGTCGGGTTTACTTGGACGCGAGTCAATCAAATCATCCACGTAACTGGAATGTTTTGGGAGATTTGCGGCTTGTGGACCATCCTCTCGATAAAACTCCGCGGTCTTGTAGACAGCTTCTGTGCTGATGGCGGGGGCTGGTGTATCGCCCATATTGACTCGTTGTATTACGTAAATGTCCGGTGGGCGATGCGGCTGTAAATCTCGCCATAGGAAACGGTGGCAATGCTGTTCCAAGGCCTTCAAATAAACCGAGTTGAACATCTTTCGAATATCTCCGATTAGCGCTACTCTTTCTTCTCTCCAACGTAGAAGAATACCAACCAAGTTGTTCATGTAGCTGTCTGGACCTTTTGCGAGACAAGCATTTAATGAAACACCTTTGTGCGTTTGGCTGGAGTTGAACACAATTCTCACGGGCGTAGAATTGGAATGCGGGTTTACAACTGCTAAATGGGAGATATAGAACACCGGGCCAGTCCAGCTCTTTACTTCTTCGGATGATAGTTTTCCTGCTACACAACGATCGACCATATCGTCCATTTGGCTCTTGTACGTCTTAGCCCATTGATCATCTTTCTTAAGCGTTCTTTCAGTTCTTTCTAACGTAGCAAGTGCAGTGTGATAATTGTCGGGTAAACATTGTGGATCTACGAGCCAGGGATAACTGGTTATCCAGCATTGGTTTACTTCGTCGTACTCGAGGTTTGCTTGAATCAGTTTTACTTCCTGTTCTTCCTTGAAAGAGTAAGTGTGTCCGACAGTAGGGCACTTATTACAGCGACATCCACTACATTGTGGAGAAATTTCGGTGGCAAGTTCTTCTCCTTGTATAAAATTGTCAATCTGGCTTTCGTCCTTTCGGTGACTATAGGAACTCGATACATTAACAGAACATTCTCTGGTATGGTTGGGATGGAACTCTGGACGTGAGTCGAAACGTGTCTTGTATGTCTCCACTTTCACGTTAACATCGTGTATTTTCTTTGCGAGATTGGTGTCATACCTTGTTTCTTCGATCAGATCTGGATGGGCGCCTTGGAGGCAAATCCCCAATGCTCCATTCACGATACTTAGATTGTCACCACATCTAGCTTCTTCTTGCTTTGGATGGAGACCGAAGTAATCACAGCCCAGCAGGACATCCACGTGTGTTGACTTTCGCTGGAGTATTTCAGGATCATATTCTGGAAATAACTTGACCAGGACTTTAGGATCCAGTTTGCTTACTTGTCCGGTAATTCGCTCCATGCCAAAGGCCGTAATAGTGACTTTCTTTCCAGCACTTGTGTTGATTGGAAACTCGTATTGCCACGTGTTGTACGTTTTCTCGACATTTCCCATAGTTGTCACGTCAAGAGAGAGTTTTTTAACTTTCTTTTTATTCTTTCCGCAGCACGATGAGTGATATAACTTGCGTTAGAGCCTCCATCACAGAAGACGGACACTTTTCTACCACTGTCGCTAATGGTCGCTTGGTGGATAGGGTATAATGCCATTGAATCTCTTCCTACGGTATAGGATGCTACTTCCTTGTTCCCATTATCTCCAGTTTTCGATTTCTCCCCGGAATCTTTTGGGGGCTTTGGTGGGATGCACAGCAGGGAATGATGTTGGTCACTTCCACATGAGGAACATGGGAGTTTTTTGGGGCAGTTAAGCTTCCTATGATTACCAAAACATTTGAAACAAGCGTTTACCTGCTTCAACAACTCATATCTGCCATCTTTACCGCTGATGGACAACTTCTGGAATTCTTTGCACTGTTCGGTGGTGTGATTTATGGTGTCTTTTCTGTGGGTGGGGAAGGCACACTTGTAGTAGGTTCTTTGTCCGTGTTTTGCACCTCTTTCAACATGATAGGTTTTGCTGTATCCTCTTGCATTGTCATTTCCTCTTTTCTTAGAATGCTGATTCTCTGCTAAACGAGCCACAACTGAACGTTCTCTGTCTAGGAACTTCATTAGCGGAGTAAATGGTTGAAGCTTCTCCGCAGACGATAAATCACGATACTTTCGTCTCCAGTCGACTTTAAGATGGGTAGGTAACAAATCAGTTAGGTTGTCTACATCTCGCATGGTTAAAGTGTTTAGCTGGTTGAGCTCTTCCAATTGACTGTAGGCAGATTCAACTTCATCCACTAATTCAACCAGAGCTTTATAATCTTCTTCTTTTACAGGTTTTAGCCTTTGAAGATCTTCCAAAGCAGCTTGTACACTGGCAGTAGTATCTCCATAGTGACACTCTAGCTTTTCCCACATGATGTCGTAAGCTTCGGGCTTGGTGACAAAAACAGATTTGATGCGGTGTTTGGCTTCTCCTTTAACTGAGTTCTTAAGTTCGTGTGCTAATGCAGTTTTATTATAACTTGCAGACTCAGCCATAGACTTCCAGACTGCCTTGAACTCTGGCCAGTCTTTCCTAAGTCCGGAGAATGTGGGTAGGGCCATCCTTTTTAGCCGAATGGTGGAATCTTGGTGGGAAGGTCTTGTATTAATCAACGGGACTGTGGGTTGATGTCCAGATAGGGTTGTATACATAGGACTGGTTGACAAATTGCTCCTGGTCTGATTGTGGTTGCTATAATAGCTGGATGCCACTCTTGGCAGATTTGATCCCATTGGCATTGCAAATGCAGGGAAACCTGTTGATAAATTTGTAGGATTCTGACATTTCTGAGACAAATGCGTTTGTCCCGATGTGGAACTGCTTTCCGAATGAAAGGTGGTAGAGGGAATGAAGGTTTGAGCTGATGTATTCAAGCAAAAACCCGTACTGGTCCCAGGTAAGGTTGGTAGGGGGGTGTTGGCCTTTGTAATGTTGGTGGTAACTTGGGTGCCAAAGGGACTGGAGTAATTAAGGGGGGAAGCGTTAATTGGCAACAAAGGTGGAATTGTGTTGGTCTCGATAGCAGGGGTGTCAATAATTTCAGGGTGGGTTGCAGTATAAATGGGCTCAGGGGGGATATTGCTGTTGATTGCCGAGGGGGAAGTGGTGCTGATGGTCTCAGGGGGGGTGTTGATATCCGGGGGGGTCATGGTGTTGATGGTCTCAGGGGGGTGTTGGTGTTGATTTCCGGGGGGAGACATGGTGTTGATGGTCTCAGTGTTCTCAGGGGGGGTGTTGGTTTCAGAGGGGAGAGTGGCAGTTTCAATGTGTAATGATTTAACAAATGCTTGTTGCTCATGCAAAAACAAGTTTATCTTTCTGATGCAATTGTAAACTGCTCTGATAATAGCATCGACTTCTTCTTGGATTAGGTTAACTTGCTCTTGTGTTTCAATCGAGCCAAGTTTTGCCATGTTATCACATATTATGTTCAAAATTGACTGTAGATCACTCTTATCTAGTTGTAAAGCTGCCATATTCACATTTTCCAGTTTAAAACTCTCATCAACGACTGTGATTAGTTCATGAATTCTACAAATGTCATTCTTTAGGGCAACTTTGACAGGCCCAGCACTTTGTTGTCTAGCTTTTTGTTCGATTGTTGTCTTTACACTAACAAATACACTCCTAGCTTCTTGATAGCACCTTTTTACATTGTCTCTGTAAGTCCTAATATCTTCACCATTAACTACACGGTGTTCAGCGTATTTTTCGTCAGATACAATAAGTTCGTATTCCTCATTCATAACGCAAAAATCATCAAATACCTTTTCAAGTTCGAACATTGAATCCTTTAAAATATCATATTCACAATCTCTGTTGTAGGCTCCGATCAGACGCCTCGCAGCGACAGTGATCGCCATTTTAGCCTTGCTTCTTTCTTGTTTTTTATCTTCAACATTCATGGCTGATTCCTGGATTTGTCTACAAGCAATACACAAGTTTTGGGCTGCAAAACTCCTTTGTATTTAGGCTTCTTCACAATTCTGGAATGCCACAACGAACGTTAGTGTTTTACTGTACTGGGATTGCCAGTAAATGTGGCCGAAAACAGGTTTCAACTCACTTTAATTATCAAAATATATGGAAAATTACAAAATAGTAAATTTAGTTAGATTTAGGTAAAACACTGTTTTCCTTCGCACGCCATCTTAGCTCTCATGCGCATGCTCTAACGAAACGTAAATAAACATCGTCCAAAAGGCGATCGCAGAGAGATTATTGTCTACAACCCAATACAATAGTGCCCATTTTTAAATCGGGCAGGAGAGATGTTTTTTATAACTATAGATCAATATCTATCCTACCTGTCTTTTCGAAGATTATAGAAAGATTGGTCCATCGGCAATTATGTTCATTTCTGGAGAATAAAAACCTATTATACCCAGATCAATATGGCTTTCGAAAGGGACGGTGTACTTCTCAGGCAGTGACATTTTTATCTGACTATATTCGCATGCAAATGGATAAAGGTAACTATACAGGCGTCGTATATGTAGACCTGAAAAAAGCATTCGACCTAGTAGATCATTCTATACTCCTCTCCAAATTACCAGCATATGGAATCCGACATAGAGAACGAGTGGTTAAGGATTATTTATTTAATCGAAAGCAGTATGTGTAATATGATAAAGCAGATTCTGCTATGTTTTAAACTGCAACAGTCTACGAATATCTAGGAGTACTGATGGATAATTCATTAACCTTCAAGCAGCAATCTGATAAAGTGTACAAGAAGGGAGTTTCGAGGGTGAAATTACTGGCACATATCAGATGAACTATTTCAACTCATGTTGCTGAATCCATTTATATGTCTATGATCAAACCAATTCTCCTATATTGTCACCCATTACTACTTGGCTCTGACACCACGATGAATCGATTCCAGAAAGTCCAAGATCGAGCATTTAAAGTTGTCTTTGGAAGTAAAACTATTAATAAATGGATCTCATTGAAATCTCATTGTAATCGATTAGCCATTCTGGACGTTTGGAGATGTTTGAATGGAAGTGCACCTTCACCATATGAAAACTATTTTAAAAGAATTGAACATAAAATGAACACTCGAAATAACCGAAAGAACATTATTTTGCCAAAGGTCAAAACTGAGAGTGGGAGAAGATCATTCATGTTCCAAGGTGGAAAACTTTGGAATACACTACCAGCAGATCAGAAAGAGGAGTGTTCAATAGTTAGATTTAAATCGAAAGTTCAGAATATTTTTAATGAATGAATATAGATAAATAACATCATATACTCATTCTCATTTTATTACCTAAACGTAAGTTAATTATATATAGTTAACCTAGTTTTTATAGAACAGTTTACAGGTCCTCTATTGATAACAGTATTCTTATACTGAATGAGTATACCTGTATGTAAATATTGTGTATAATAATAATAAAGTGAACCCAGCTAATTTTAGATTTCAGACAGTGGCGTTACCATGGGTGTTGCTTCACTGATTGGCATACTCGGCCAATCTGACAACCAAACACGAGACCCAGGCTTTTTCACTGAAATCAATCTGGCTCTTGCCTTGGTTTCTATTAACACTGGGTCCACAATTATCATGCTGAAATATATTTTATCTTGTTACAATTCTACACATCCTATGTAGGGCAATTTTGTCCTGCTTCTAACAATCATGAACTAACTGTACATGATAATTGTACTATTTTAAATAATTATGCCAGCCAGGCATTAACAATTATTTAAAACACAAAACAACTAATTGATCCAAAAAAATATTAATAAACACAAAGTCTACCTTTTTTATACAAAAATATATGTCAACCTTGAAGTTTTCCATCTACAGATATACAAAAATATATGTCAACTGAGAACATGTAAAGTATTTGATGACACTTTTAATTTCCGGGTTAAGATTCTTTCAATTGTCCACAAAAGCTGTATTCTTACTCGTTTAGCCGCCTTTAGCGAGCGTATAAATATAAATTCACTAATTCTCATGATTCAAGATTCACTCCATACAATCCGCCATCTTGGATGACAAATCCTCCCCACGTGCATACCCTAGAGACGAAATCGCTGCGCAAGCAAGATGCGCAGAACGGCTCAACCATGTCGGGTTTTGGCAGGCATCTCACCGACTTTCTGAAGTACGTGAACTACGAGATGCCTGCGGAGGAAGCTAGATTCGATGTACATATATATATTTTAATTTTCTTACTATCCATTGCCCGACTATTCACCGTCCAGTATGATACAGTACTCCTCAACTTAATGCGACTAGGCGGTATTTCATTTATCAATTGTTATATTGTGGTCACTAAAATTGCTAAAAAATAGGTACGCTAGGCGTACATGTATCTGCGCAAAGGAATTCCATGGTTGCTATGAAAAAATTTCATTCACAAACAAACATTTAAATTTCGAAGTGACTATACAGCCGGCTATTTAGTAAACTTAGATACTACGGGGTAGGGCCGAGCGCCCCCCCCCCCCTCCCCCTATAATTTTGGTAGACTTAAAACCTTAAAAACTTTAAAAACTTTAAACCTAGTTTTGCAAAATGTGTTCTCAGAGTGCTGCAAGGCAAATGCCATTTCGGGGTCCAAATTTTAAAAATTTTCTGGGGGACATGCCCACAAGCCCCCCATATTTCACAAAGTGTCCGCCACTGCACTGTACCCACATTTAATGTATGCTAAATGAAAAAAATACATACAAAGAAATTTTATTAACTTTAACTCAGCTTATGAAGCAATCCTATAATCCTAAGATGTCCTGTGACTATTAATGCACCATATAACAAAATTCTAACGTAACATAATTCTGAATGCTGTAAATATATATAAAATGTACCGTATATTAACACAATTTTGACATCCCCATACAGTATATATATTAATTATGAATAGACAATCGATATTATTAAAAAAAAGCATGCATGGTTAGTCACGAAAAAGCTTTACGACATCGTAATGATAAGCTTACAACATGTTACTCATGTTGCAAAACTTGCCACGTTCATTTACGGATTTTTTTATAGCAAATATCCAAATTCACCAATAGTAATACAGTACCCGAAACTCGTCAAAACTTCATATGCATTACCATCGAACTAATTATACCAAGCACTCACTCTCAGTGAATAATCTTGATATTATCTTGACAAAAATAAAATAACACGAAAATACATTTTATGAACAATAGACATGAAAATAGTCATTTACAATCTAGTGAACTTATATTTTAAACATTTGAAGAAGTCGAATTCATATTCATGTTTTTAACAGATTATGTCTTTATAGCTATCCAACTTTTCTCCTTATTATGTACTTTATTCTTACTAGTGAAAGCAATATTAATGTATTAATCTTCATATTCTTGTAAATACTTTTTATAGCACTGATTGACATAAAACTTTGCACTGGACATTAAACTATGGCCTTAAATTAAATACCTGAGCCTATAAAGGTTTCTTTAGACTCCTAGCCCTATTTATAGTTGTAGCTTTAATACCTTTATGTAAATAATTACCATAATGATTGGGTGAAATAAATAAATAAAACAATCGTCACTCTGTAGAAAGCCGCCATACAGCCCTAATTAGTCGACCTGATTGTTTAACGCACGCACCCACACACAAACTCGATAGCATAGTATCTAGCGCTGCGCGCAGATACAAAAACTAACATTTTTAGTTGAGTGCAACACAATCTAATGTAAGTGAGGGACACAACAAGCTTTCAGAAAGAGAAGAGCTAATGCCATATCTCTTGGAGGCAGGCATAGATCCAGATCGATTTATTAACGAGCGCAGATTGGTCATTGAAGAGTTGATGAGAAATATTACAGATACTTGTAGTTGACATAGGCAAGGGTATGTGTGTAAACTGAGTTACTGTAGTTTTAGTCAGTATATTTTAATTTCTTTAGGAATGAACGTCCCTTACTTCATTTCTCAAGAAACACATTAACCAAGATTGTGTTTCCTGATGAGCAACAACGATTCATTGAAGCTCAAGAAGCTAGTGATAGAGTGCATCATTTATGAAGGGAAAGATGACAGCTGCGAAGCAAATAACGTTGCCGCTGATTTTTTCGTTCGCTATACAGGGTGTGCCAAAAAAAAGTGACACTATAGAAATTATCCTATTGTTATAATTTGAATGCCCAAGCACTAAGTTGATCCCACAGGTGCATAAACTTCTGCTTCTGGAATTTAAAACATAAAAGCAAACCGTTTATTAGTGTAATCGTTTTGCTTGACTCGGGCGTTAAAATATTTGGACAAAGCGAAAACGTTTTAAAATGCTTAAATGTAAATACACGTTCATTAAATTCCCAGGCGTGTAATCACGCACGTTTAAGAGCGGCTTAAGAACAGTGAGATAATTTCTATAGTGTCACTTTTTTTTGGGACACCCTGTATAAGGGAAATCAACCAAAGACAAGCAGGTGAGAGGATCATTTATACCTATTTAATTCATTGTTTGAATGCTGGTTCAAAATTGCTTGGTTATAAGCGGTAGAAAATATACATTTACCAACTACAATACGATCAGCAACTTCAAGTTGAAAATAAATGACCATTCTACTGATTTAAAAATTTGAAAATGGAAAAATAATTTTTTAATTTTGGAAAAAAATGAATGACCCTAAGGTCCACGGATTATCCCCCGAATTCCTTTGTTCTCAAAGGAATGTAAATCCCGTATTTTTACCTTTGTCTTCTAAATATCCCCCAGGAAATTTAGTAGAAAACAATGGATTCATTTGTCTACTAATTTTCCCTCATCAAGCATGCAGGGGAAAATCAGTAAACAAAGCAATCCTTGTCCTTTTACTAAATTTCCTACTTGCATATCTAATATGTTAACCTGAATTCAAGGCAGTGGTTTAAATAATCTTGAGTGAGTCACAAAGCATTTCCCAAAGCATTTCCCACCATTAATAGTCCAACTTGGAAACAAGTTCACTGATCAGAACCATACAAAATCAAACGCCTAAACTTACGTCGGCATAGTTTTCACAGTTTTCCTCGGCGATCATGATATTACAAAGCGATAAGTAAACACGACTCATCAGGAAATTAGCGATTAAACTGCCATTCGTCTTGGGAAGATTTGTGAAAGTCACAAATCCTCCCTCAGCGGCGGGCTATGTAATCGCTAATTTCCCGCAAGTCAGCATAGTATTACTTATAATACTAATTACTTGTATTTTTTAGATGGAGTTACTTTGGTTGACTTGGTCCATTTTTGGACAGCTTCCAATGTGCTTCAACACAGACCCAAATCTCTTTTAGTGAGGTTTGATGATAGCAAGACAAATCTCTTCCCACTGTCCGAAACATGTTTCAAGGCTATAATCCTGCCAACAAAGCACACAGAATATGAGATGTTTAAAAGAAATGTGGACATAGCCCTGAAATTTGGAGCTACAGGGCTTCTTTTCAACTAACTGTACGTTATTAGGATGCATGCACAAGGTCCAAATGTTCAATCATGTTTGGTTGTTATTCAAATTTAAGGAATAGTTTTGTTAGACTTACATATGAAATAGACATTAAATAAAAACATGAAGATGTTTTAAAATTTGTTGTTGAAAAGCTGAAGTTATAGCTTTCTTTTTTAATTTAAATGTTTGGCATTAACTAACCTTTAACAATAGCTCTCACTCATGTAATTAAAGCAACTCAAGAATTTGCAGAAACAATTCGATGCCTTGTTGATGCGTATGGCAAGTATTTTCTGGCAAATTACATAACTTCTCTTCATCGAATGGACATTCTACACTTGGAACATCCACTTGCTCTGGCATTTGGTCAGGAATTGGTCCAGCCCAATCAATACCATAATACTCAACGGGCTCCTATATATAAAGAAAAATTAGTTTAAAAATTAAAAACTAGAACTAAAAAATGCTATGAATAAATAAACAGTTCCTCTAAATAGAGCTTGCATAAGTACGGCCCAGCGGTCTATACATACCTGCAATATTTCTATGATCCTATTTGCTTCCAATGTTCTGGCATGTTCAAGCCCAATAACCCAAAGTTGAAATGGCGACTTGTTTCTCTCTGTCCGGATTGGATGAATTTTCCACGCATCTCTCCAATTGCGAATATGTTCATTAATTATAGGCAAAAAGACATAATGCAGGCACCATATATGTGTCTCATTTTCTCGGTCAAGAATCCCTTCTTCCTCCATCGTCAAAAAAGTCCATAAAATAGACTGAGACAACCACTGAATACATCTCGCCACAGCCGCTCAATTTGTTGGTTATGTGTACTTTTGCCTGGTGAAAAATACAATAACACGTAAAAAAGCAAAAAGGAAAATAACTTGAAAACTTCAAAATTGCTTTGAGGAAAATACTCGTGCAAAAGTACAAGCAGCCTACAGACTATATTCACTAACAATTACAAACCTGTGATCATACTACCTCTACCAGGTGAGAAAGCATATAGGCTGCAACATCGACATTTTCACCGCCTTTATCAGAGCGGACACGTGATGGAAGTCCAAACTCTTCCACGCTTTGCAGAAATTCCCGCAAGACAGTTTCAGCACGGTTGTTGTCTGATACTTTCAAATATACTGGCATCCTAGAATAACCATCTATTCCTCCGTGGATTACAATTCGCCAACTAGTAGGCAAGATAATTACAAGCCTTTAGTATGGATCAAAACGTTTTTAAATCACAACACTAGTTGGCTTTTTTATTAGCAAGATCCTCTGAGTTAATCAGCTTGTGGTTTCCATCAATATGCCACAGAGAGAGTGGATATTTCACATTGTAAGTCCGCCTTTGATGGCCATCTTCCAGCGTTGCATTAAACCAATAGGATCAATTCGCAAAAGAGAATATCGTATTCTCTTACGCTGGACACGAACACCTTTACTTTGAAGATATCCTTTCATCATTCTCAAACCAAAGTTTGGGATGGCTATTTGAAGCTTCCCTCACAATATCATCCAGTTCATCATCTCCAATATTACTGAACATACCTAAAAAGTAAAAATCTTTAATTAACCTTTTCTCAATTTAGCCATTTTCTCTTCATTCTCAGTATAGATAATTACTCAAAAGTCAACGTTAAGGTGATCTACAGTCCGTACGTAAACAAAGCCTTTGTTTATATTTTTGCATCCAAAATATTGAGCTTTATTCGACAACTATTTATATTTTCAAGCTTCTAGAGTATAATAAATGATCAAGAAACAACAATCAGGCTTTGCAAGAACCCAAAAACATAGTTAAACTGTTTGTATCATAAAAAGTGGGCTCCTTTGTGCACATGCGCAGATGGGACTGCAGATCACCTTTAATTAACATTGTGATTTCTGTCACATATTTTTGGTAATCCCTGATCAAGAAAAGGGCCATATATTTTCGTGATACGAAGTGAAAAAGATTATGCAATTAACCTAATCCTTCTCCAACCTTAATCCTTACCCTAAACCTACAGTAACCATTACCTTAACACAACCTTTACCATAATCATAACCCTAACCTAACATTTACCCTAATCCTATACATAACTATAACCCTTGCCTAAATAGGCAAGCCAGGCTAAGTTGATATTAAGTCTGGGATAGGAAAGCTTAGTAAAGTTTTTATTGTGTATTTTACATTACTTTGAAGTACTGATACAAAAAGACTACACTCTATAAATTTCCTTTCTAACCTCCCCACACCTACACACTAGCTGTAAATTTGTTGTAACTTGTAAGTGCCCTTGTATTCTATAATCACTCTCCAAAAGTGGTCAGGTATTCTATACAGGTCTGTTCAGAGAAATTTGGGGGGCCGGGGCAAGGATCAACTGGGGCCCTTCTCCCATTGGGATTATTATCACAGTTAATTATAGCAATCTATCTAAGTATCTATAGCTATATATTTATTTTATTACATCTTTAATTTCTTTCTCCCTTCTTCATTTTGCCCCCCTTCCTCGAGCCTGGGGCAAATTGCTCCCTTTGCCCCTCCCCCCCGAACGGCCCTGATTCTATACTCTAGCCTCTGATCGTAAATAGCATGAGGTACCTGATACAGAGAGTCCAAAAAACGCCATTCTTCTCTCAATTGTCCGTTTACTGACCCCGATTATTTTGCTGATTTCGGAAACGTTGAACCCCTTTTCAAGAAGAAACGATAATTGTTGTTCTTTTATATCGTATGAGGGTCGGCCACGATTTATTCCAGAAACTTATCGAGCAGTATTATTTTCTTCACTTCGCGTTTGGACTTGAACAAAGAATGTTATATGCCTCTACAACGTTTGCACATATCGAATCATCAAGATTCATATTTATCATAGGTCTCCCGAAAGGGTCTTTTATTTTAAAAAATCCATACAATTTGCTTTAAAATGCAATGCTTTGACATGCAATGCTTCAATGTACAATAAAACCTCTATAATTTGTATTACATGAAGTACGTGTAACATCACAATAGCGTTGCGTCATTATGTAATATATATCCCCAAGGTTGGCAAGTAAATACAAATTTAAAACTGTATACACAAACTTAATGACGAAAAAACTCGCACACATAAACATCGAAATTCATTAAAAAAACTAACTCACTATCTTCTCTCATCACTTTTAAACGAGTTAATTTTGCGAAAACTCCGAGGAAAATTCATCAAATTCGTAACTCAATTTGATCAAAACTATGCGGGATGATGGCTCCCGGCGTTACGTCACAAAATAAAGCTCTCTGATTCGCTGGGAAATTTCAGCCAGCCAATCGGAGAGTTTTTTTTAAATTTTAAACATTTTCCGCAAATCAGAGAGCTTTATTTTGTGACGTAACGCCGGGAGCAGTCATCCCGCATAGTTTTGACCAAATTGAGCCATTTTCCTCGGAATTTTCGCAAAATTAACTCGTTTAAAAGTGATGAGAGAAGAAAAAAACACAATATAGAAGTATTACAGTTATTTCTTACCATATAGTGAGTTAGTTTTTTAATGAATTTCGATGTTTATGTGCGACTTTTTTCGTGTATACAGTTTTAAATTTGTATTTAGTTGCCAACGTTGGGGATATATATTTACATAATGACGCAACGCTATTGTGATGTTACACGTACTTCATGTAATACAAATTATAGAGGTTTTACTGTACATTGAAGCATTGCATGTCAAAGCATTGCATTTTAAAGCAAATTGTATGGATTTTTTTAAATAAAAGACCTTTTCGGGAGACCTATGATATTTACTAGTAACCGTTGTAAAAAATCAAATTTCAGCATAAGCTCTTGGTAGTCTACATTAGCATCCGAGACTGTGAAAAACGGTCGGTGGAATTTATCTCATCAAAAATTACCTGTAGCAAGTATTGTTTGTCTTCTTCCTCCATTTTGAAAATATAATGAGCCGGCGAACAACAAAGACATTGGATTGCGGTTGGGTATCAAAAGTTGGTCTTCAAAAAATAAGTTGTGTTTTCAACCGATAGACCGGTGATCTTCAAAAACAATGTTGTTATTTTAATGAAATGAATATGATCCTCAAAATATGATATAGTGAAATGCAAAAGATGATTTTTGGCGGACATGGGACACCATAGAAATCGATTCCAAAGGTCAAAGTCTGCTCAACGCCTTTTATTTCCTGGTGCTACTATTCAGTAGATACATGTACGCCACAGCGGACCTATGTTTATATACAGCAGTAACAGGTGAGATTTTGAAAATATCAGGAATAATACCAGATGTAAGGGACCGGTCATAAAGTAACTGCTAGGGTGGGCCGGAGTGATTTGGGATGGGCCATGGAAAATCTTTGGGCAGTTTCGATGGGCCGCCAATTAGTTTGTATGTCTACGGTTGGGCCACCAAACAAAAACCCATGTCTACTTTCATCCAGGGGCGTAGGAAGCCAGGGGGCCTCAGCGCCAACCATGGTGGCGCCTTGTGGGAGTCGCCCCCCCCCCCAACTTTTACAAGCTTCCCTGCTTTCATCACTTATTATGATAAATATAATAGCAAATAAGATTTTAAAATCAAACATAGTACAAATCTAACAGGGCTGTACACTGCACAGAGGACAGCAGGGACAACTGCCCATCCCCCCCCCCACGCCCTAAAATTTAACTAATTTTATAATGTGATTATGCTTGTAACAGATAATTATGCAGTCAGGAAATAAAAATTTCATGCAAACAATATACAAAGTGTCTATACAGCCGGCTATTTAGTAAACTGTCACTTGTCAATCCATACTCATCAAATTTTCAAAACTTTATTGTGATCATATGAAGCAAAAGTTCTGTCACTTGCTGTTTACACTTGCCAATGTTAACTGTTGAGTAACATACAAACTATTCGAGGAACATGCATTACTGTAGCAAAGAGCCAATCATATATCGAAGACAATGCACTGAATAGTAGAGAATGTTTTGAAGGTCATGAGTGAAGTATATAATTCAATTCCAACCCTGTGCACAGTTAATGATATACCACACTGTTCGTTTAACTCAGCATATCCACACAAAAACAATTTGTGTTGTGGGGGAATATCTGTTTGAGTAAAAGGTATCACAAGTTTAGTTTTGTACATTGTGTGCCATTGATCTGATCCATCCATATAATATATGATTATTGTAGCTGTTAAGTTATTTTCCATACTGGTGAATTTAGGTAAGATTGTCTTGCAATTGGGTTGTTCTGACAAAATTATCCAGCCAATATCCAGTAGATCAGTACATGTATTCATTCTTGCATTAATCTCTAAACAAAAACATTTATATTAGAAAGCAAAATGACAATGTAATGAGGAGGGAGGGTGGGGATTCTTTCATTAGCATTTGAAAATGGTTGTAACAATTTTGTTTAATTAACTCTATTGTGTAAAGCCAAAATGCATAAGTATAATTTTAACTGATGACATCTTTACCTTTGCTCTAACACTACATTTGATGACAAGTTGACAACTTAGTTGGACTGTTGTACGTTTGAACAAAGTTACAGAAATACAGTACCAGGATTTAATTCAATATCTCCTGAGAACATTAGTTTCTTGTGATATTGTTAAGTGGCAATATAATGCCTGCAGCCAGAGTTCTGACTGTTTAAAGTATTTATACACAATGATTGTTTTTTATACTTTATAAATGTATATAATAAAATATGTGGTATTTGGCTACTTACCAGATAAGGATAAGTTTCCATGTTGATAGATAACTTTGGAATAATATCACAAGTAGAATGGTGAAAACAAGACAGCCAATTCAAGATAAAATCAAGATATTTTGAAGCCAAAATATGGAAAGAATAACACGAGTACATGACTTACACGAGGCCAAACTACGCCTGTTCGCAGGTTAGTGCGAGCACAATGTAAACACTTGATGTAAGCTGATTGGCTTAATTATATAGCTCGTCGCTGTATGGCTATGGGTAACGTCAATACTCAGAGGTTAATACTAATCTGCTTCGCAGATACAAAAATAAAGATATACACCGGCACTGTATTGATATATGTTCATACCTGCAAGTTTTTTTTTTCATTATAAAAGTGTATTTTCCCAATTTAGATTAGGTGGGTGGGTCATGAAATAAATTTGGTAAGATTGGATGGGCTTTGAAATTTTTATCTACATCCTAAGATGGCAAAATTTGTGATTTACCTCCAGCCCACCCTAGCAGTTACTTTATGACCAGTCCCTAATAGATTTATTATTGGTGTATGTAAAAGACATTGATAAAGGTTTGCATGCAATTTTTATCAGTCTGTTTGGTATATCAAGCGAGGCTTTATTTGTTTTCAGTTCAGAGAATAGTTTAGAAACCTGTGACTCTGTAACAGTAAACATTACAAAACTTGACAATGGTGAATTATGGATATAATCAGTTGGATTGGAATTTGTATATTCCATTAAAAAACTCATTAATAATTCATGAAGAAAACACAAAGAAAAATCATAAGCGTGTCGTATCTGTATATGTGATACAGATTCGTGTTGATTTACATAAACTTTAACTTTGATTTTCTCGGCTTAGACAACGTCTGATACAACACGGCCGCTCATGTTGTAAACATTACGTATTACATCGGATAATGACGGACTAACATCAACAAAATGCTGGTTATATTGCTTTGCTATATGATATGGTTCAGTAAAACTTGGTTTACTGAAGGGCTCGAATCCGGGTTCTTCCATTAATTTAATTTATTGTACGATCCGGATTAAAATTTTAATTATTTCTGACGTTTCGGCTACCTATACGGCAGCCATTATCAAAGACGTATTACAAGCACTGAGCTGTATAATAACTGGAGGACCTGCTCCTGTACTTCGTTCAGTCAACGAAGTGTCCGCAAAAACATGGCGGATTTTGATGAAAAATGACGCCATTTCCATGACAACACTTACTTTATTCTCATAGTAGTTACCACTGACCAGGCTCAATTCTGAGCTCACGGCAGTTTTCACCCCCCCACCTGGTTTTTGCAAAACAGTTTTGCAGATAATATAGTTCTCGACTTCTCGTTGTTTTGAATCCTTTTTTAATTTTAAAAATGTTTTCGAGATAAACTTTCTGGCTTTGACCATTTGGTCAAAGATATCCAAGTCGTACGTGTTTAATCTCACCCGTGAAAGACGACAAACCAATTTTAAAAATAGGTACGCAGTGCGTACATGCTGCATGCCATCTGAAACTTAGCCTGAATACAGACCTTCGTTTTGCTCGCCCTAAAATTCGCGGGTGGGAGGCACAAAACGAAAATCTGATGAAAATCATGTCAAAAACGCTGTGATATCTGACCGCCTGGTGGTTGGAATAGCTGATTGGCTAATTCACAGGGAAATGGGTTGTGGTTGGTTGGTCGCTAAACATGAAAAGATTTGAAAAGATCGGAATATATTTCAACGGTATTCTCAACGCATATACTATGCATATAGTGTAATATTCTAAATATTTTGTGAAGCCGAACGATAAATAGCTAACAGTATCTACCGTCTAAAATTAAAACTAGAGCGAGAGTAGAGCAGACTTGTCAAATACTTCAGCGTTGTGTCATTCCGTAATATAGGTAATATAGGCCTATAATACAATAATTTTTACACTATTTACGTTTTGTGATAATCATCCCCGAGCCGGCGGCGCGAAGCGCCGTGCGAGGGTACTAATTCCCCCCGGCTATTTACTCCCGGGGAAACGAAAGCATTAGCG